TTAAGCAGCAAATAACCTCACATCACCAAATGCCAAGGTTTATCGAGAGTCACACATGGAGACGAACTAGTAATCATGTTAACAACAAGACTTGATGAGTCAACGTGTTCACAAGGTAGAGTAGCCAATAATCTTAATTATAACTCAAGTAATTCTACCAGGGATCGGGTAACGTTTTCTAATGACCCAGAATATCGATCTGGTCACAACAACGACTCAGACCTTGTTCAATATTGGGTTTGGACACTGAAGGTGGGTCACAACTTCAGGTCACCACACGCAGTGCAACCTGCTTCGAGCGAAACTAGGCGCAAGCCACAGTTCGATAAAAACCCCTGCAAGTCTCAGTTCCCAAGCCTTGATCAGCCCTCAAACAGCACTTGATAGGAAAGCCATAAATAGTACGTTAACCAGCCAATCAAGCAACACTCGTAAGGGCTTTTTTATCAATATCTTAGGGTTTAGGCTATGCTCAAAGAGTGCAATGGTCAAACAAGACTGATACGAGGCTTGCTTCGGTGTATAAAAGAGCGGTGGGAGCGGTAGTCCACATTTAGAAGAATTATGTCGTCTGATCGCTCTTTATCGACTCCCGAACTGCGCCAAAACATGGAAGATCTCGACAGCGTGGTGTTATCCGACAGCTCACTTTCGATAGCTTCGATTACGAGTGCTCTTCAGTTGCTGCACACTACAATGCAGCAAATACTTCCTCGACTGCATTATCTGCCGACAACGAGTGAGGTATTAATGGAGCAGACAAAAGTGCTACTTACCAGAACAATCCCCTATGGGTAACTGCATATTCGGCACGGAGACCGCGACTCGCATTACTCCGACCGCTATCAGAAATATGCAGATCTGGTCAAAAGGACAGTACAGGCATCCAAGCTTCAATCTGTGCTTGTGATGACTGAAACCGTCCCATGGGGACTACTGCAAGGTGACGTGTGCTGTTTGTGGTCTCGGCCACAAGCAGTTCCTCTGTCATAAGTCGTCGCATGATGAAAGACCTCAACACTAAGCCGTCAACACCTCAAACCATCTTCATCAGTCAGGGAGCCGCACCTGCACCACCAAGCCGTCTACACTCGTCAGCGAGTCGCACCTGCACCATCAAGCCGTCTACATGTGTCAACGCGCAGTCTTTCACAAGCCGAGCAGTCCACGTGTGTCAACGAGCTAACTCAAGGGACGATCACAATCAACAATTTTTATGTACACTGAATCGCCGCCTGCGGGAGTGTCGTCGACGACGACCCGCTTTATCACTATAACCGCCGAGGTCCTCTTTCTTGAGTAGACCTTCGAGGAGGCGGAGCAGGACTTACACATGTTTTGCTCAAAAATTAAACCTTGGACGTGCGTAAGGAAGAGCACATCCTCCCACGCCTTATTCCCTCCGCTCACAATAAATTTTGCCACTGAACCACCGTTTTCTAACTGTGTAAAAGTGTCCAAAATCCAGTCTTCTGCACCCAACCTAGTTGGGTCCTTGTCGCTCCAGGTTTAACATTTCTCCTTATTTTGCGACACATTTCGCCGTCCAACCAATATCAACAAATAGAGTGTGGTTCAGTAGCCAACGTTGAACTAATTCTCTGTGTCGCTCTTAAGCTAAAACCTAGTCGATATTTGCGATTTTCAATTATTGAATCTTTACCCTCAACAATTTAGTCCCCCGCACTAGGGACTATATCATTGAGATGGACTTTCAAAGTGTAGACGAGAGCTCTATGAAAAATATACAGGGGGGGGGCATTTAAAAAAAAGTCACTTTTCTTTTTTGACTTTCGAGGAGCTATAATTTACACTTTCCCAATTTTATTGGACATTCCCACCACCATCTTACAGAGCATATTGAATACTATCAGATACTCCGCCCAGCCTTTCTGAACGCAGCGCCCATGGACAGATTTCTGGCCACGTCGACCGTCAGTGGAGTGCCTGAAGCATCAGCGAGATAGTCGAATTACTCGCGCCAGCGTAGACCACCCTATTGAACTTCCGCCCAAACCGATTAATTGAGGAAGTTTAGGTCAGGTGACCTACTTGGATATTCCATCCCCTTTAGGTACTCAACGCCCTTCCATTCCAAGTAGCGCGGGAGTGTTTTTACCAATGCCTGCGATTCCAATGTTGGTGGGCACCCAATGCTGCTAAGCAGTAGAAACTTCCCAAGAAGGTACGGGCGACGATGTGGGAGAATATTCTTCTCGACTTGCTCGATGTAACAGCCAGCGCTCACCTTCAGTGCGGAGCCCACGAAGAAAATATAGGCCTTTCCATCCCGGGTACGTCCGTTCAATACCATCAACCTGCGCTGCGGTGAATGAATGCATGTCCTAGACCGTCGCGACGTTGTCGGAGCTGTTCGATGTTGGAGATCATCCAGATCGACAGTACTGGTCCCCAGGTAGCTATCCTATGGGTGACTCCATAGAAGAAGTTTCGCAGCTGTTTGGAGGTGACGTGAATTTCAAAGGTCTTCTCCAGTCAGACTGCTACTGGAGATGACTTCATATTTTGGTGTACATGAAGTTGATGGGCAAGAGCCAAGAGCCAGCTCCTGCTATAGAGGAACATCTTGGGTATCTTCCGCCCTGGTACTCGTATCCACGTCCTCTGTCTGGGCTGCGAAAACTTTGCTGATATGTGACTCGGATCGAAGTGACTTTTTTTGCCCCCCCCCTGTAGGTCCACCGTGGCGCCACTGCAGAGCAGCGTATGAAAAATTAAAGAAGCGCGCGAAAAATCTCAAAAACCTCTATGAGGAGATGGCGGAATATGAAGCCTATAAGAACAAATCCTAGGAATAGAGCAAGCAGAGCAAGAGCCCAACAATCATTTACAGAAGCATGAAGTCAACTGGTCTTTTTAAGCAAGGCAATAGTGACCTACCGGGATGAGTCACGATGTTTTCACCACAGTAAGCTTACTGTGGGACTCGGATCTCTTTTGCAACATATGTTTTCGTTTTGTCGCTGCAAGTGGCTTTTACTGATCTCTCAACGTCAACAAATAAACTCATCAAGTAGAATGAGTACTGTATTTGTGGGACGGTTCAGTCCAAGACTTTTCTGCTCCAAAAATTGTCTGACTTTATAAAAGGATAAAGTCTTCGCCGTTGATCAATCCCTTTGTGGGATGCGGCACGCATTCTACTTCCATTCAGAATCGTAGTGGCTTATTGAATGCGATGTGGCCTATACAATGACTTGCGGTGGCCAGCCGATGTACAAGTCAGTGTTTTATCCTCCCAGACGAATCTGGTACCAATTTACCGTCCCCGGAGGGTAGAAGGCTTGGTTGGCCTGGGCGGGAGTCGACCCGGGATTCGAACCCAGGCTACCAGCTCATGCGACCCCATCTCCTGCGTTAAGCGACATGCGACCCCCACATAGCTTGACCCTGGTGGTAGAGAACAACCAGAAGGGAAAAGACGCAGACCAGCAGTGCGTTACAGTTGGTCGTGCGGCAGGCCGTGTAGCAGTTTGGGCGGAGACTGGAGACGCCATCAAACAACCACTACTTCCCAGCCGCGTTCCTGTACACCTTTGAGCGAAGTAAGTGTCACGCTACAGCTGCGGATCTACCCATACACGGCAAGTACAAGGATCCACAAAAGAGAGTGCACAGTTTGTCCTCATAGGAAATGCCCGCGTTCGAAGGGAATCCCCCCCCCCCTCTGCGTAAGCGGGTAGACTGCTCTACAAAGAGTAGGTAAATAAGTGAAACCCGAAATTGTGTTCGAAGTAATTCTGGACCTAGGGCGCCAAGGCGGAAATCTCCAATTAATCAGCCTTTCTTCTAAAAGATAAGCACAACCTGCATCGAACGGGAAAAGGTACACTTTTTGTAGCACCACCGATCTTGAGCAGCATCGAAACTTCCTATCACCTTACCGTCAATACATAAAACATATCCCGTTCTCTAAACGTTGAATCCTCTCGCTTATGAAGTGTTTCATGTCGGTCAATTTCTCTCCGCACTTGGATTTTCTAGATCAGTGTGTCATCTCGCCCTCAAGTATCTACTCAGCGCTATATAAGCGACAAACGGGTGATAATCAGTGTTTCAAGGACGCTCGCGTATCCATCCAATCATCCGTTGAAGGATGTCAATTGCGATTCGAGTAATCGCCCTTACCTGTTGCTTCATTGCGCTCGCTGATGGATTTGATTGCAAGATTACTGTCCGAGTCACCTCGAAAACAGACAAGAAGGTAAGTCTTTCGAAGTTATATGACGTCAACACTAAACCAAATAGTGGTTTAGTGTTGACGGTTAGGGTTTACTAGCCTTTAATCTTGCCCAGATCTGAATGAAGGTTAAATGGGTACGTAAAGCCTTCATGCCCTTACCATTAGCGGTTGTTACTTGTCAGTTCTACAGACATGAGGCTCTTTCCTCAACAGGATGATTTTTTGCTTCGAAACCCATCACATCGAGTTATTTGTTCATTCATTGAGTGACTGTTAGAGGGGGAGCCGAGAGTTGAGGTCACTGTCGTGATGTGAAAAAAATGCCACTGAGTTATGGTATGAACTCCGCGCTGCGATTTTACTCTGATTTTTGCATTCCTTTACCCAGTTCCAGAAATTACTGGCTAATAACGCCGTTCGGCATTCATCAACCTAGTTCATTCACCATTCGATGAAAACAGGAAAGCAACTCGGGCTAAATCTGTCTTATGGAGAAGAGGCAAAAAGGAACAGTCCTGAACTCAATTCCGCCATACTGGGAAACACCTTTCAATGACAGTTTTGAGAATTGCGAACGTGTAGATGATGGAAAGCCCTCAGAACAAAATGCATACAACAGCGGCTTCTCCGAAAACCAGCAGAAGAAAAATAGCGAGTGCTAGGAATGGCTGTAACTGTAACCTGCGAATAGTTTCTATAAAAGAAATTCAAGTACCTTTAGTTACCATGATTCGACGAACCCGTGTAACAGGCTATAGATCAAGCAAAATATGTGCGAGGAGTTAATGTTAGATTATTTTTGACCACACCTATTTTGAGCGCGATGCCTTCGACCTCCATTCACTAGAATTTGCCCACCCAGACTAGTATGGCTTAGTCTCGACGTAGACCTGAGCAAATCGGCCCGCTTGATCTTGATCGTGCACTTCGATGTTCTAGGTTAGAGTGCGATCCTATGAGTGGAATGGGGCGAGAGGACACCCTAGACCCCCTATATTGAGCGCGATGCCTTCGACCTCCATCCCAGCCTCTTAACCCTAGACCGTTCTGCACTAGTTATTTGACCACTTGAGAGCCATTTTGAAGCAGGACAACCTTGTCATTCACTGTTATAATTTAGTTCAAAGCTGTCGTGGTAGTACCTGCACTTGGAGTCCAATCTCTTCCCATGATCTTTGACGGGAAAACAACCAAGAAAGTACAGGTATGATGTAGAGTTTACCAGGCTCACAAAGTAATAGATCACATCAGTCATAATAAAGGTGAATGGCGAAGATTGCGGAAACAAGCCATGGATGGTGAAAACCTTCAAATGGAAACACGGTGAATGGAGACCAGCAAAAAATATCACCGCCAAATTCCAGGGTAATGGCTGGTTCAGGTGAGAGCATTTAGGATATGTAGGACTACTTGTGCCCAGCATTATGAGAGAGCTGTCAAAGTAAAGAAAATGTAATTGAAGGGTGACCGTCGAGGATGATCTTGAACCTCGCCCAACGGACAGATTTGGTGTCGCATGCTATGAAGGATTCTGCGGATAAGAAGACACGCCATGGAGGCCGAGAACATGCAATACGTTATGATATCACATATGTGCATTACTATGTTTTTATGTGGGTATTTATTATTAAACATATATTGACTTGCTGTTATTTTCAATAACTGCAACTTCCATCAACTACTGTCTACGCGAAGGCTGCACCCTACGCGACAGGCTGCACCCACGAACCCATCGGTGCCCTTTCAACGAGGGGTTCTCACACTTTCAAATACAAGATCTTTGGAGGCTTTTGATTCTCGTATAGTGCCTGTTCAAAAATCTTCTTAACTTGTCAAACTTGCCGTCTAGTAATGGTGGAACGTTGTTCTCAGATCGAGCCAACTGCTGAAAGTTGTTCACAAAAGATTCCGGTAAAGGACAAGAGTGTTTTTGGGACCATTTCGTACAGACGAAAACCGCGCGCGAACTAAATATGCGCTTCAACGGCGAATTTTTATGAAGCCTGGTCCTCCATGTGCGAGGTGAATGGGTCCGCAGGTGCAGTGGGTGCCACTTTCTCTGCTCAAAAAGCACCAGAACGGGGCTGGAGGGAAGTTATACTCGAATGACTTTTCCAGGTGTACCTCACCCGCGATTATTCAGTAGGGCGCAAGTGGCTCACAAAAGAATTTAGGCGTGAGGTTCAGTGCATTGCAGTAGTCGACCACGGACTCGCACCATATTCGACGCGCGTTACCTGAAAAAAGCGGTCGCAGCCGATTTGCCGACATATGCCTTGCGTTGCTGTAACAGAAGCGTGAACTATTTCAGGTATAATGCACTGCAGGAAGTCGAACTAAACTATTGTTTGGAAAAAAAGCAGACCTTTTTCGTCAAAAAATTGTTATTGAGCTGAGAGGAAGAATGACAGTTTTCGTTCTGCTCCGAAACTAAGTTTCCATTTTTTCCTATGCTATAGTCTAATCCTATTCCACTGGTAATCAGAGCACCAATCGTCCTGGTAACCAGAAGTTCGAATGCGTGAAAGTTGAAATCAGACTCAACTATTGTTGCTGGAAACGCGAAAACCATTAAATGGCACTATTCAACTATTACTACCCCAAAAAGTCCATAGAGATAGTTCGGTGTCCTAATAGAATATTAGCCCTCGTTTTGGGCGCTGGCATCGAATGGGCGCCACTTTGGCGCCGCCACCTTTCCCAGCAAATTGTAAATTTGCATGGTATGGTTGTTTGATGTCCTGATCACGACTACCGAATTTTTCTCTCCCTGACGCCATTGGCGCTGACTTGGACCCACACTCTTTTTTATCAAAATTGATAAAAACGTGCACAATGGGATTGTTTGATGCCCTGATCACGAATATGACATTCACTCCAGCACCATTTAATCCTTTTCTAAGGCTGAGCCTGTGAGAAAGAGTGTTTTCCTTTTAGATTTAGGTCGGGCCAGCAATACCAGAGCGCAGATAATCACAGCGTCTTCTATCAGCGCCAGCGCCAAAAATGAATGTTATATATGCAAAAGATGTTAAATGGTCTTCGTATACAAGTTTTCAGCGGATTTAGTAACCTAGGTTACTTCAGCGCCAGCGCCAAAATACCCTAGGTCAGGCCAAGTGGGTGCGATGTTCAAGTTCAGGAGGTCAATTACCTCTAGAACCCAACTTTCATCCAAATCTGCCCACGTAGAGAATAACCTGATTAAGATCCGGCCTTGTTAACTGGTCGTTTGTTTTCCAGGTAGAGCGCGTCTCATATTGTGATGTCCGCAGCCGACTTGTGAGTCCGCAGCCGACTATCGCAATGCATTCAACCTCACGCCTAAATTCTTTTGTGAGCCACTTGCGCCCTACTGAAAAATCGTTATTGTTCCACCCGCAGCCCCAAGCCTAATCGTAGTAATCGTGGACTAAGGCGCTATTGGTCTGCATCCTCTCACTTCTGGTTTTCCTCCACCTTTGACTGCGTGTTCGTTGCGGGATTTTGGTATCGATGTAAGTGCTGTACACTGAAGATGGCGCGGGCGCAATGTGGAGATACCACTGCATCCAGGTACTACTGCTCTCCAGCCTGTTCCCGTGCATTTTTCAGCGGTGAACGTGACACGCTATTGCAGCTGGCAGCTGCGGACCCATTCACCTTTCACATGACGAGGCCCGTCCTCAGAGGTGAGTTTAGAGCTTGTCTTCAAACAAGTTCAGCAGCAGGTTGAAGTATTTGTAGCACTTCTCAAATGCTGCAACACATCGACACAAATACACTCACAGCACGAAAAAGGCCAAGAACTTCTCCCGGAAGAACTATACATCAGATCAATATCAGTCGATAAGAAGGGAACATTTCCATTGGGTTCCTGTTATATTTCGGCACACAGCGGCCAAGAACTCTTGGCTTAATCTATACTGGGTTTAAAGACAGTTGGCACGATAAATCCCTAAGACGAGTAGGATTGATACGCTGGCAGGACGGAATTCCGCGACCCTGAGCAGGCGCTGCATAATGCCTTTTCCAAGGAAGGTGCCCTTATAAGGGCCCTATCAAGCCACAACATACCGACCCAAACGCCCCCGCCCGCCCACAAATGGACGACCGTTCCTGACGCTCGTATTCATTCATTTGCTAAGCAAATTATGAAGTGAAGTGATTGGTTCGATGTCCATAGTTCATATTGAGTTTTTCAATCCCGTACAGAAGCTATGCGCCGCACATACCAAAAACTGTAAGAACTTTTTGGGAGTAATCACGTCACGAATTTCGCTACGAGGAAGTTCAGCAGCATACCACCTTTGAACTGAAAATGCTGACACTAAGTTGATTGGATGGAAGGCATGCGACAGCGCGGCTATGTTTGCTCCGCGAAGGTGTGCACCGTTACATGCAAGCCGCAGCGAAAAAGGCGGTCCGAGCGCGGTGATGTGCGCAGCATTCATAGCACAACCTAATCTACTTAAATTGGCAGCGCTGCTGAGCATTCCTGTTTTTGTTTCTTGCGTCAAGCAGCTAGAAAACAATGTCGTTGCCGCGACTGCGGAGATGAGCGCACAAAGGCAACTGCCGCGAGACATTGCGGCCTCGCTCGGTAATGTTGGGTTAGGATAAGGACTTCGCCGTAGACAGCCCTATCCCAGAACTCAGTTTGTGCTAGCGCTTCGGTGTATCTCCACCCAGGGCCGCATCGGTTCAGATTTGTTTGGGTCTTGTCCATGAGATTGCAAGCTAGCCCCCCAGCAATGGCAGTGTAGCCATCTTGGGCGGCGCATATCGTAGCAGTCGTCATCCTTGCACTTGATAGGGGCGTGTCGGCGAGAAGGAGCGTGCACACTGTTTGAAGCCTTCTCAGCCTTTTCGTTGAAACGCGTATGCGACAAAAAGTGATAGAAAACGAGTAACACGAAGGATATAATACAGTAATGTCACTCTCTGGTTCAACGATTGGTGCAGTACGGGTGCTGACGACCGCGCCGCACGCAGCCGCACTGACATTGACTATCAAGTGCAAGGATGACGACTGTACTTGATTCATCAACATGAAGAAGAGAGGGAACTTTTTAATTGGAAGTGTAATTGTTTATGACACAGGTAACCGTGTGTGGTGCAAAAAAACAACAGCACAAAAACCAAACAGAACAACAGCTCTACTAAAACTTAATGTCGTGGGGCCAAACCACAACAGAAACCATTAACTGC